TATAATAATAATAAATAAATTAAAATAAATTAAATTATTATATATATATATATTTTTTTATTATTCACATGAAAAATTATTCAATTTTTTTTAATCATAAAGGGTTATAAATGTACTACTATATAATTTATTTTTATAACAGTTAGATTAAAAGCCTTTAACATGTATCTCTAGTATCTTAGACTATAATGTTAAATGCGAGGAAATCGCATTACTGGAGTTAGATAATAAAAAATGATAAATCTGGGAAATATTACAAAAACAGTTCAAAGTTTAGAAAAATCTGATACGGGTTTTTGACCTCCATAAATATCTTTAAATCATCTTCAAAATTTAATTTCTCGTTTAATATATTAGAATGTATTTGCTTAATATGGGATATTTTTTATATACAAATTATATAAAATGTAATGAGACTGTTTTTACATTATTTATGAGTAGCATTTTTTTATATATGAATAGTATTTCATTATGAATAGCATGTTAAACATATATTTTTAAGTTGCAACATATTTATAAGTTGCTGTAATCGTACGATTCAACTAATTAACTAAGCTTAATTGTTTAAATGCTCTTTCTTAAATGAGATAGATATTTTTACATCTACTTTTACATAACTACAATACTTATACATTTTTTGTTTATGTGTAAACATATCAATATACTAACAACAAAAAAATCTAATAATCATAATCAGACCATTTTTAATATTAATTAATAAGGCAATATAGCCAGCATATATAATTGCAGAAATTAAAATATTAATTAATAAGAAATAGATTACAGAAAAGAAAATTTTATTATAGAATAAAAAGTGCCTTTGATCAAATACACAGGAAAGAAAAAAAATAATATATATTATATATAATATATTATATATATATATATATAATTATATAATATATATTATATATAATACTTATATATAATAATTATGAAAATATTACAGCGATTAATAACGTTAAAGGTTGCTTATAGAAGATGACAAAATGAATAATCTTTATATAAGCTCTATGAAATTACACGTATATTATAATCAATCTTAATTACGTAGACATAATGGCATACTATAGGAAAGAATAACTTTGCGTATATAATGTATTTTTCTACGTATTTTGTACTTATATAAATAAATTTCTAAAAACATTTTTCGCATAGACTATTTCCTACTAAAATATATCTGACTTTAAATATTCAAGCCAAAGAGAAATTACATGAATTGCGAGCCATGTGATTTCTTCGATAGATTGCGCATGCTTAGTTTCTGCCGCCAATACGTCGTGTTTGGAAGCTGCTGGAAACTTTACGAGCAGGACATTGCAAAATAAAAGTTTAGTGCAGACGCAGTTGATGCTAATCTATTACAACTTCTGTTCGAATCTAATTAATTGCCGACAGTTCGCTTAATACAGATATTAAAAACTTTTTATCAAAACACAAGATTCAATTATTCAACAATTTAAGTTGACACACTCGAATGACGTATTTTGATCGATGAAAATTATTTCAAAATTATAATATGGTTTTGAATTTTACTTGACAAATGCGTCAAATTTTTTGCGATAAGCTGATTTAAATCTGAAAACCATTCAAGTATGATAACTTATAATATTTCATGTCTATTGTTAAATATAAAATGGAATGCCAATATTCATAACCGGTTCATGTTCGTCGACGACAGTTCACGCGCCCGGCAATTACCGGGCGCGGTGTGCCGTTCTGTTGTTTTTATTCGGAGAACGGTCGAAGAACAAGGTCACGAGAGGCAGCCAAAATGGCAGTCGCCGAGCGAGCCGCGGTCACTATGTGTCAGGATAATCCAACACAGTCGCGAGAACATTGTTGACGTTCGACGCGATTTTGTCCGACGTATTCGCCGTTGTGTGACGACGCGGCACGGATGCGAGCTCGTCGTATTACTTCACGTATTCGTTGTTTTTTTTCCCCTTTGCCGCTTGTTATCGCAAACTTAACTCTGATGAGGGATTCAGTTACCGATACTTCGCCGGTATCGTTATGTCGTGTTATTACAGTTTAATCTAATCGCGAGGACGCAACATCACCCAAGAGGGATTTATCGGTGCTCCCTCTTTAGAAAGATCTCGGAGAACGCAGCACTCGCCATGGTGAAACAAATCCTCGCTGGCCTCGTGGAAACAGAAAAGGGAAATGCAGTTGTGTGAACGTCCGTGATACTTCAGTGAAGTCTTTGCGCAACGGATGCGCAATTCCCGTATGTTCTATTTGTTTGTAAATTATAATTTAATTTTAACGCCATATTAATGTTTGCGATTTCAACAGCGATGCGGACAACGTGTGCGGTTGTTGACGTTTGTGCGACGGAAATATCCGAGCGGCATTAGTGTCTTCACGGTGCGTTAAGAATCAACGCAAAACATTCAGGATTCGGTGCTCTCGCCGAGGCTACACGAGAGAGCCTTGGCCAGACGTCGGCGTAGCGGTGCTTGCGGCATCGTTCACACACAACACGTACTCACCAGTTGAACGGACGCCCGCTGTGCGCGAGAAGCGTGGAACAAAGCGTGTAATATGTTATGTAGCTTGCTCCGAAAAGCTGACGACAAGACGCTTTCATCGCCGGCATGGCGTGCGCGGGATACGCGCCATCGGTGTAAATATTGAACAAGTGACGTAATTAGTTGCGCGAGGTATGATAATAAGCGGGGACGTCGTCACTCGTCGGCGCGCCTCGCGATCAGATAAAGCGCACGAAATTGTTCCCCTTTTCGAGGTCGACGCACCGTTTGTATCTGCCAAGGAGAAGCCTGATAAAAGATTCAGTTCGGATTCCGTCGTCGTTGCCGGCCTGTCGTCATCCGATTTCCCGCTGGCGAAAACGATCGAGATATGGAGGTAAGTTTCTTCGTGACGAAACTCGCGTTATTTATCATCAGTGTGCTAATTACTGAAACGTAATCGCTGCCTGACAATAAAATGCGAAATGTTACATGTTACAACTTGTGATCTCAAGTCAGATGACAGATTCTCTACCTAATTTTTTTAGTCAATGTTTTTCTTTTAGCTAAGATGTTATTATTGTAATTTTTTAAATTTTAATATTAAAATCTCCGACTAAAAGTTCATTAAATTCTATAGAAAATTATTGGAAAATTCTTGATTACTTATTATTTGTTTTTTTCTTTTTTATTCACTCAAAGCTCAAGAAATATTAATGCTCCACACTTTCACTGATTGCGAGAAACAATCGACTCGAGATTTTCTATGTATCGTAAGAACTTATGTACAAGTAACTTTGTCTATTATTGGAAATATTTCTTATGCTTTCTACAATAAAACAATCTATATTTAACGTATAATCTTGAATAAAAAGACATGGCAAGAAGAAACATAATAAGAAAGTACAGAAAGCGTGACTAAACAGAATAAAGTGTGTAAGCGTGACAGCCTTAGTCTTTAAAGAGCGCGAAACCATTCTGACAGTTGCATAAAGTACAAATTTGCGCGTCCAAAAAAAATTTTTTAATATTTAAAAATAAATCTATTTATATTTCAGTTTATCTGTATTATATGTAAATTCTTTCTTAAAAAATATTAATAAAACTTAAATAAACATAAAAAGTAAATATAACAATAAAAGTAAGTAAATGTATAACTATTGAAGAAAATGTAAAGTAAAGTAAAAATATATATAAGGCGTACATAAACGTCTTATTTTTGTATAAATAATATTAATATTATTGAAAGCATTAATATTATTTATGCGCTTGGAGAAGAAAAGACCGGATTCTGCTTTACACTGCTGGATTAATTTCAGATCACACTGTTAGTGTATGATATTATAGTTCTATATTTACGCCGGCACTTTTCATTAAGCCACCTGCGTGACGTTGATACTTCATATATCTTTCTTTACAACCTCTTCGTAACCAAATAATTTGCCACTTTAATTGCAAGAACGGCGCCGATGCGTCGCATTTTGACTTGCATTTACAATATCGGTGAGCAAGATAACGTACAGTATGATTTTCAAATGATTATATTACGTTAGAAGTTATATTTAAAATATCAACTATTATTTTAAAGTACTATTTATTTTCATTGAAAATTGAAAATCTATTACGTGCTCAGATTTTATTTTCAGAAAAAAAGACAGAGAGCGAGCGCAAAACACTACAAACATTACTTTTATTTTTCTTGAAGAAATCGAGAATGACGAATATCATTTTTATTCATGCGATGTCGCAGGCATTTATTTATATGTATATATTCGAAGCGACCTTTCGGTTCACAAACAATATTCTTTCATCAATGTGGATCACAAGCTGAAAATATGCGGCATCGATAAGAGTCCTTGAAAAGTCCTGTCTCTTCTGAAGCCGATTGATTTCAATTGTGATGTTAAGTATTTCTCTAACATTGTTCGCGAGTGTTGCGCGATCTTCACGCAACACTCGCTGTCAAATTGGTGACACTGGCGACACACTCTATCAATGAGTCTCAATTATTGTTCCATACATGCACGATGAGCCTCATTAGCGAGTCCCAATTTTGTGTACCTAAATTTCTTTAATGAGACCTTAAATACCGGATATTTTATTCTTCTATTGACAAGCGTCTCCGATAAAGCGTTAGTCGACATTGAGGGAACTGTATCGACCCCAAAATTGATCGTTTAAAATTCTTGAAAGATGCGAAGATGCATGTGGAAGAGAGACTGAGACGAAAGAGACTGTAAGAAGAGTCGTGGCCCATTTCTTTTAGAAAGGAAACGATGATTACAGTTAAGCCGTTACCTGCGTCAGTGGTCGGTTGGTTTTCTGTGGACGGCATTCCTGATCGGCCTCACGTCACCGGCTGCTCGCCGAAAAATCCCTTCGAGAAATTCTGGTAAAAGTTTTCTTTCCTCGCTCCGTCTTTTATAACATCGCGTTTATTTTTTAAATTCAGTTTTTATTCAAGGCTGCTGGTCCATTATGCCTTTGTCAGATCTAATCGCGAAAATTTATTCAGAGCTGCAGAAAATCGAGAACACCAATGTGTATGTGAATGTGTATGTGTATGTGCAAACATGTAACGTCATGAATCGATTATCTTTAAATAATCAGAGATAGAAATAGAGATAGGAGAGACTTTTACATTTAAGCTTGTAGCAAGGATACTCGGGGTGAGTCATGGAATTCTAAATGGAGCACATCAAGATATGGGGGTCGTGTCGAATGTTGTGCGTAGCAAGCGACGAGGCAGACTTCTGCATCAATATTCGAACTTATCAGAGAATCTGTGTTATTAAAATTAATAATACAGCGATTCGTGAGATGTAGCAGCGTATTTCAAACGTAGTTCCGTGAAAGCAACATTAGACATCAATATTTGCTTCCTCGAAATTGTAGCAAGCTTGTGGAAGATCAATCGATTTATCCTTCAAAACAGCTGAGTCAAAGAGAATGGAAAACGGGGGAGCAGAAGGGGGGATATCGTGATAAAAGCTTAGATACATGTTTGCTGATATTAAAACATTCACTCGACAGTGACCTTGATTTCTACCAACGAGATCGTCACATTGCAATTTCGTTTCCGCCTGTGCCCTTTTCGGGTAATGTGTCGCTTTATCTGTCTCCTTCGTGATTTCACAATGACGTGTCGAACAGTGTGTTGCACGCGATATAATTTCTTCTAAAGATAAACTGATAACATTCGATATTCGCAATCGATAGAGAGTAACGGGACAGGTTGTTGTTGAATTAACAATAAATGGTTTGTTGTATCTCTAAAAAATTCATTTTTTGTGCGCGCAATTAGTCAAAATTCATTTTGAGACTCCTTGAATTCGAATTAAAATGATTGAATTTTTATTTCAGGATGTTTATGTTTCACGCTTTCCTTATTGAAGAAAAGAAAAGTCACAGCTTTCCTTGTTGAAGAAAAGAAGAGTCACTCGAGTAGATACGATAGTACTTTTTAGATTACTATACCAAGAATTTTTCTGTGTGCACGCAGGCAGAGCATAGATTAGAGCAGTTGAGAAGAGCGACGGATAGAATACAAAGAGAAATCGAGGAAGTCACTGAAAGGGAACACGAACTGCGGAACGTGGGCAGCATAAAGACTACATCTCACGAGACAGTGGATTCTAAGGTATCAAAATGTGTTTACTTATTATTCACTTGTATCGAAGTCCTGCGTATCTCTAGTATCTTTCTGCACACAAAAATACAAACATTTAAGTTTCAAGTGTTTGAAGAGCGGATAATAAATTGTGTTTGAAGACTTTATATATAAAGTGTTCTTTGGAAAAAGAAATGATTCATTTATATCTTGAAATAATATATATATATATATATATATTTATTAATCTTATTGATAGGTGCGTCGCATGCCACAAGCACTAGCATCGGGCAAACTGAAGAGGACAACGTCCACGCCACAGATACTGGAAGCAGTCAGTCTGACACCGCTGTCAAGCTTGACACCAAAGATGACGAACGGCGTGATATCTACTACGCGCACAACCCCGACGCCGCTGCGCTTTGCCAGCGTGCCGAGCCAGAAAGGATTGATGCACAGGTTCCTGGCTACACGAGGAAAGCTCTACAAAAGCAAATCGACGAATAATGACAGCTTGAGCCCACCCATAACGCCCACTATTACACTTAATCCTCTTAGTATCAAGGCGTTCAACAGAACTTTGGAAATAGAACCGGACGACGAGCCAAAGAAGCCACCGTCGAGAAAAGGATACGTTCCTGTCGAACAGAAGATCCAAAAGGAGCTTCACGATATGAAAGAACGAGAAAACGAATTAAGGTAAGATTTTTGTATAACAGAATTGAGTAAGACACAATAAACTAGTATTGTCAATATTTGGCTGCCCGAATATTCGAAATATAATAATTACATACATACAATTACACATATTGCATTGTAATTGCATTGCTAATACAAAATTATCGCATATAATCGCATTACATGTCAAAAATAACTAATAAATAATTAATTATAAATTTTTATATTACTTTTTTTACATGTAATGTAATTTTTTATATATAATACGATAATTTTATGACATAAATGACAGCACTACAATAAACTTAAATCATTAAAAAAAATATATATTTTTAAATTAACTTTTCAAAATAAAAAAAAAGTTATTTAATTATTATTATTCACAATTCTTTCATAATGTGCAATATAAATTTAAATAATAATTAATTTAGATGATTTATTTAATTTGCTTGTGTGATAAAGGAAACATTAAGGATTTACTAAGGTAAATTGTTACGTGTAATAAAAATTTAAAAGAATATTTTTACATGATTATTGCAAAGTTAAAGCGATAAATAAATCTCGTTTATCTTTTAGATTGATGAGATCGCAGATGCTGGCAAAGTCTCAGCCGAATTTACTCGATATAGGGAACGATAATGACTCGGATATTTACGATGGCTCCAGTTCTCTCAGAAGTGGCGCTTCTAGTAATACTTTAAACGAGGACGAAATTGAAAAAGAACATAAGGGAAAACATAAGGTAAGCGATATTTTTCAAAGAATACAACTGCATTTAATTGTTGAAACAATACAAATACGTTAATTTACAAACAATTTACAAACAAATGTAATTTTTATATGCTTTTATATATATATATATATATATATATATATATATATATATATATAATAA